GTGGATGAAAGGAAAAAATCTCTGCCCTACAATAACGTTCTTGTTTGATTTTACGGACAGGATGGTAAGGAATAGGCTTTGGGTGACACGATGAAATCACAGGTAAGCCAGGCGTGGCAGTGCATGCCTGTGGTCCAAACTATTTGAGAGGCTGAGGGAAGAGGATCACTTGAGCCTGGGAGGTTGAGGCTGCAGTGAGCTGTGATCCAGCCACAGCACTCCAGCCTGGGTGGCACAACAAGACCCTATCGCAAATAAAAACAAACAAAAATCTCACACCTAATATTTGACAGAGTGTACTTTTTAAAAACCTCCTCCCTCCTCTCCATTTTTTCTTTCCACTAGCCTCTAGGATTGTCTTTCAAATCAAAGATTCCCAAGATTCCAGTCAGGCTGCATCTGAATCAGGGAGGACCTTGAAAATAGGAATACTCCAGCAGCACGCTTTGAATCACCCCTTCTTATGTGGTCAGAAGAGGCCCAGGCTCGCAGTATTCTGAAGAAGAGTTCTGCTTTAAGAGCTGCAGAAGGTTCTGCTTTAAGTGGGAAAAAGGCCGGACACGGTGGTTCACGCCTGTAATCCCAGCACTTTGGGAGGCAGAGGCGGGTGGATCACGAGGTCAAGAGATTGAGACTATCCTGGTCAACATGGTGAAACCCCGTCTCTACTAAAAATACAAAAATTAGCTGGGCACAGTGGCGTGCGCCTGTAATCTCAGCTACTCGGGAGGCTGAGGCAGGAGAATTGCCTGAACCCAGGAGGTGGAGGTTGCGGTGAGCCAAGATCGTGCCATTGCACTCCAGCCTGGGTAACAAGAGCGAAACTCCATCTCAAAAACAAACAAACAAACAAAAAAGAAGTGGGAAAAAGTAAAAAAAAAGACCAGGCGCGGTGGCTCAGGCCTGTACAAATCCCAGGACTTTGGGAGGCTGAGGCGGGCGGATCACAAGTTCAAGAGATCAAGACCATCCTGGCCAACATGGTGAAACCTGTCTCTACTAAAATACAAAAATTAGCTGGGTGTGGTGGTGTGTGCCTGTAATCCCAGCTATTTGGGAGGCTAAGGCAGAAGAATTGCTTGAACCGGGGAGACGGAGGTTGCAGCGAGCCGAGATCACGCCACTGCACTCTAGCCTGGTGCCTAGTGACAGAGCGAGACTCTTGTCTAAAAATTAAAAACAAAAAACAAAAAAAACAGGTTCACACTCAAAAACCAGCAGTCCCTGCTGCAGCCCCTCTCTGCCTTGTGACTCTCACTACTGTGAGCTCTTGCAGCTTTTTTTTTAATACTCACTTTTTTTTTTTTGAGTCAGAATCTCGCTCTGTCACCCAGGCTGGAGTGCAGTGGTACAATCTTGGCTCACTGCAACCTCTGTCTCCCGGGTTCAAGTGATTCTCCTGCCTCAGCCTCCCAAGTAGCTGGGACTACAATTGCACGCCACCAATGCCCGGCTAATTTTTTGTATTTTTAGTGCAGACGGGGTTTCACTGTACTAGCCAGGATGGTCTCGATCTCCTGACCTTGTGATCCGCCCGCCTCAGCCTCCTAAAGTACTGGGATTACAGGCATCAGCCACCAAACCTGACCCTCTTTTTTGTTGTTGTTGGTGGGATGGAGTCTTGCTCTGTCGCCCAGGCTGGAGTGCAATGGTGCTGTCTCAGCTAACTGTAACCTCCAATTCCTGGGTTCAAGCAATTCTCCTGTCTCAGCCTCCCTGGGATTACAGGTGCTCACCACCATACCTGGCTAATTTTTGTGTTTTTAATAGAGACAGGGTTTCACCATGTTGTCCATGCTGGTTTCAAACTCCTGACCTCAAGTGATGTGCACGCCTTAGCCTCCCAAAGTGCTGGATTACAGGCGTGAGCCACCGTACCTGGTCAGATACCCACCTTTACCTCTCTGATCCACGTGTTACCTGCTATTGCTTCGATCGGAGACATTCTGCGTATCCCCTTCCTGCTGTGGACAGCAGGACTCAGCTCACTTGCATCACCAGTCTCCCTCCCTGTCCTACATTTCATGTCTTCTTTATTGGTTAACTGTAATTTTTAGTAAAGATTTCACTTTTCTAATTCCACCAGCTAGACAGCAATCACAGTCAAGCACTCTACCCATATCTACTTATTTCAGCCACACAGTAGTATGGAGAGAGGTTACTATTATTAGCCCCATTTCAGAGAAAAGGAAACTCGGGCCATTTTGTTATTATTTTTAGTGGTTCTCCAAGAAGAAGCAGAGGAAACTTGTGTACTCAGTCTGTCGCTGAGTTCTAATGGGGCAAGGATTGGGAAATGTTCATTCTGGCCTTTGTGGTGAAGTCCCCTGCTGGACAATGAAATATGACAGTGAAAAGTAAGTAGCAAAGTCTCTCATCTTGGCCGGAACTGGCCAGTTAGGCCCAAATGTCTTAAACCAGCTGAACTGGAATCAATTAAAGAGTTTATTAAAATTGTACACCTAGATGGGGCGCAGTGGCTCATGCCTGTAATCCCCGCACTTTGAGAGGCTGAGGCGGGCAGAAGATCGAGACCATTCTGGCCAACATGATGAAACCCCATCTCCACTAAAAATACAAAAATTAACTGGGTGTGGCGGTGCACACCTGTAATCCCAGCTACTTGAGAGGCAGAGGCAGGAGAATTGCTTGAACACGGGAGGCAGAGGTTGCAGTGAGCTGAGATCACGCCACTGCACTCCAGCCTGACAGAGACTCCGTCTCAAAAAAAAAAAAAAAAATTACACACCTACTAAAGTTTAATCCTTGGGGTTTGGGCCCAGGAATCTGTATTTTTAACAAGTATGCATCATGGTTTTGAAACCAGTGATTACAGGTGGCCTGGCAGTGGCCTTGTTCTAGTCTCTCCTCCATTGTCAGTGCTTTTTCTTGAACCTTGCACTATGCAAGTGGAAATCCTGAGCGTGGCACTTGCTAAGGAACCACCTGGAGCAGGCAGCAGACCTCCCTCCACGGTGGGGTCAGTGATCTTCAGATCATGATCAAGTTGAGGGAGCTATAGTCCTAGTGCTGTGCACCTACGGTACTCAGCATTACGCTCCAGGCTTTTGGCCAAACATCCCAAATAAAAAATGTTAGATCTTGGGGATTATCTAGCCAACCTCCTCACATTTGATAGATGAGTAAACCAAGACCCAGAGAAAAGCAAGTTGCACACAGAACAGGGCCATTACGGACTGAGCCAAGAGCAGAGCCTCATCTCCTAACCCGCAGGTCATCTCTTCCTAGAACTGCACTAAGAGGCAGCCACTAGCCATGTGTGGCTATTTCTATATAAATATATGAAGATTAAATAAAAATTCAGTTCCTCAGCCATACTAGCCACATTTGAAGTACTTGAAAGCCCCATGTGACCTGTGGCTACCTACATATTGGACGGTGTAGATACAGAACGTCTCCACCACTGCAGAAAGCTCTATTGGTCTAGCTCTGGGCTAGAACCTGGCCTTCATTTGAAGGCAGTAGGGAGAGTGGATGGTTTTACCAGTGCTTTCATTCCTCAAGCAATTGCTGCAGAAGATTAACTACAAGAGAATGTGGTTGTTCCGTTATAGTAGCCTAATAACATCATTTTTGATAAACTAGAATTTACACGTATAAACTGGAAGAACAAAACCATGCAAACCAACTAGGCCACTGAAGCCCGTCCCACTAGGCCAAGACGGCTCTCAGACGCCTTATCTAAGAACCAAATCAAATGCACAGAAGAGTCCCTTTCAAAGCTCCGGCTGGTCTCAAGACTAAAACGTATAGGGTCCATTCTCATTTCAGGTAGGTTGGAGGGGAGTACAGTTAAGAGGTAGGAGAAATAAACCCAAGGAAAGAAGACTACTCTGCATGATAAAAGTGTTAACGGTGGATGAACGGGTAGAAATTCTTTCTCTTCTTCCTCGTAGATGATTATTGTAATAGCTAATTTTTTTTTTTTTTTTTTTTTTTTTTGAGACAGAGTTTCGCTCGTTACCCAGGCTGGAGGGCAATGGCGCAATCTCGGCTCACCGCAACCTCCGCCTCCTGGGTTCAGGCAATTCTCCTGCCTCAGCCTCCTGAGTAGCTGGGATTACAGGCACGCGGCACCATGCCCAGCTAATTTTTTGTATTTTTAGTAGAGACGGGTTTCACTGTGTTGACCAGGTTGGTCTCGATCTCTCGACCTCATGATCCACCCGCCTCGGCCTCCCAAAGTGCTGGGATTACAGGCTTGAGCCACCGCACCCGGCCAATAGCTAAGATTATTTGTCCATAGAGGATGTTTTCCATCCAGCAGTTAACCAATGGAAACACTGAAAAATAAGAGGCATCTATGCAATTCTAGAAGGGAGACCTTAAAAGTGACCAGGCTTGGAGTATCCTTGCCTACCTACTCTGGACTAAACAGACGTGGAGAAAAGTCCTACAGGGAGAAGGGTTAGAGGATTAGAGATCACAGCATCATAAAACAGAGGTTTTGGTGAGGGAAGTATCTGGAAGACCAAGGGCAGAGCTAGGAAGTATAGTTTCATCCCCAAAGGACCCCTGCACAGGGCTCAGCTCCTCCTGGGGCTCTTCCCTCAGATCATAAAGTTAGTCCTATGACTGTACATACAGGTTCACATTTCCCCCTTGAACTCCCTGTAGCTCTTCCAGCCCTTCAGAAGAGTCTTGATATAACTATACAAACTTGTCTAGTTTTGGTTCGGGGAACAGCGGGGTGGGGTGGTAAGACGGAGTATGGGCTGCCCTACAGTTGCTCCCTTGTCCTTGTGGAGGGAGCAGTATGCTGGTGAGGGAACTCTTGTGTGTCCAGGAGTTCCAGATAGTGAGCGGATAAAGAACTCACAGTGGAATGGGGGTGGAAGGCAGATGACTCACAGATATTACAGAGAAAAGCTGAGCCTGGTGGGGGCGGTGGAGGCAGGGAGGACGGACGCTTCTATCATATAGGTGCAGTCACGTACACACAAATTACCATCAGACAATCAAGGTGGCTGTGAACTGAATTGATTTGGATAAGATTTATTGATCAGATTGTTTTAGAAAACCAACAGCAAAACACTGACAAGGTACATAAATACAGATTGGACATTTTAGGGTAAATTCACTATATTTCCTACTTGTTTGTTTGTAGGAAACCGAGTAAAGTGGAAAAGCTGTCCTGATCATATGGCATGCACACCAGACTGCAAAAGGACATCCACACTATTTAACAAGACTGTGGCAAATAGCTTTAAAGTAAGGCGAGCATTGTGTGTGGCCCAAGCAAACCCTGTTGGAAGAGCAAAGCTAGGCTCGCCTCTCAAAGACGGTGTCTCAGAAAGAGGCTTCCTTTCTTGCCTAGGTTCTTCCAGGAAACTCATCATTGGCAGGTGCTTTTCCAGGGAGATGCCTGTGCTCTCCCTGTGCAGACTCTGCACAAGGAAGTGGCTTTAGAGAGTGTGTTTTCTAATACCTCCTTTACATTCTAAATGTGTAACTGGTAAAACAACAATTACTACCGCTTGGTGAAATTTGTTTTTGTTTTTGTTTTTTCTGAAAACTGCCTCTGACTCACCTGTACACTGACTAAGCAGGGCCTTTAAAAAACTTACAAAAAGTTTTTTTTTTTCCAAATTAAAAACATGAAAATTACACTAGAAAGATGGAACTACCTTTGAAGCACAACTCAGAACTTCTGTTCATAATGCCACACTAGGGAAGAGGCCGCTTTTGGCTGAATCCAACGACCTTACAAGGGAAAGGCCATGGCTGGGCAGGATCTGGTGGCAATGCACACGGAGGTCCCAGAACTCTGTCGAGCCTACCTCAGGCCCTGCGAGTATGCCTGGTGTTCAAGGCATTTGGAGAACCAAAGCAATTTCAGCTAACAGGGACCAGTTTTTAGAGTGGAGCTTATGATCAGAGGACCATAAACCCTCATCCATCCTAGAGCTCAATGCCAGCAAAATTTTTAAAAAATACAAAAAATAAAGGAAAATGGGTTTTTGTGCTACATCAGAATGCTGGCAGGTAGACAGTTCAGTACCCTGTGCCACTTTCTAAACATCTGTAAGACCAAACAAAAAACAAATCGGTTTTACAGACTACTAAGACCAGCACAGTCTTAGAGGATCATTCAACCTTTCCTACAGGCCAAGCTGTGGAAAACGGCAGAGCCACGGCTCTTGCAAGATTAGAGGAAAAGCAAGTATTTGTTAAGAGCCAGATAAACATGTTCAAATAATGGAATTTCCTCTGTGTCGCACACAGCTTTCTCTTCCCATAGATACTAAGAGTTCTTTGGTAGTTAGAGAAGAGATGGCCTAGAGCTCAGGGCAGGAGATGATGCTGAAGAGTTACATCTAAACAGGATTACCACCTGTGGTTCCTAAGTTCAGCGTTCTAATTGTTCAGACTGACTGATTACAGGCAATCAGCTGCTTAAATGGTCACTGGTTGCCAGCTCCTCCCTGATTGTTCCTTTTCCTTTTCTAACTACTCATTAGCCCCATTCTAAGGAAAAAGAGGGAAATGATAGGGAGGAAAAAGAAATAAAAATGAATTGATTGTTTGATGGAAAAATGGATTCACTGATTATCTATGGAGTTCAATGATCTGTGCTTTACTCTTGATACTCTGGATAACCAGAGGTTACTCTTAAGATAATTTTTGCTTAAAAATGTTAATATGCTTATTATACTTTAAAATCTAGCTAAGTAAGAGCGTGAATGGCTTAAAGCAAATTTTTACATCATATCATTATGGACCTGATAAAAGGAGATTCTGCCAATGGAAAGCTTTTCTTCTAGCCTGGGAAGGATAGTTAAGATTTCAATCTATTCTGTATTGGTTTATAGTTTTTCCAAGATGTGGAAAGTATTAAATGTGGAAAGCATCATTTTCTTCATTTAAATTAGTGTATGCATGGGAGAACTAATCATATTGAATGCTAGGTTAAAATTCTCCATTTAGGAAATTCCTTACAGATGAACTTCCTTGTTCTTGGGCAACAAAATGTAAGACATGCAAACATGAGATAGTACAAAAATGACGGGAAAAAAAGTTCAGCTCTAACAAACTGAAGGAACAATGAGACTCTAAGAGCTGGAGTAAGAAAACATGGGCTTGAAAATCCAGCTTTACCATGAGTTGGCTTAAGCCAGCCGATCACACCTAAAATTCTTGGCATAATTTGACTCTAAAGTAATGAGCTAGCTTCCCCAGGACAGACACAAAAAAGTAGTCTACCTGCTTTATAGTTACACCCTATATATAATATGTATATATCCATATGTTTCTATATATTGCACTTAAATTTACAGGACTGTAGTAAGACGGCTGGGAGTACCTCAAAGAGGCAGAGAAGCAGCAGGCATAAACTTTCCTAAATCAAGTAAACAGTGTCAGGAATTCCGAGTGCTGGTTTTAGGTATACTGAATGCCTGATGACCCCTACCTAACTAGTTATCTACACTTCGTCATTCACACAGTCTCATTTGGCATCCAGAACATGTGCATGTGTGTGGTTCTATAGCACTCAGTGCTGGTCATACCACATCATTTTTACTAGTGTTATATTAAAAGAAGACACTTTAGACCAAGGATATATACTTTTTTGAAAATAACACACACAGGTCTTTGATGTCAGGCCTCCAAAGCCTACCTCAAAGACGACTACCCTCAGAAGGCTCAACAAAGGATGCCAGCAAGTGTGGCTGGAAGAGACCCCATCTCTCTTCACCTCTCTGGTGTAGCAGGGCTAGAGACTCACTTCTCTCCTGAGGACCATGAAAGTCTAAGCACAGAGGCTGAGCATTCAGTCTTTGGTCCCTGTATAAATCCGGGACAAGAATCCTCTTGCCACCCTAGACAGCCTGGCTAGTTCAATCTGGGATATATTTCCCGCAAATATCCAGAGGCAGGCTGACGTCATGCAGAAAAGCTCTGCTCTGGTCTGACGGAGTTGCTCAGGCTGACTTACCCTGGGAGAGCTCGGAGGAGCAAGCCAGGCAGTGGGTGCGGGAGGTTAGGTGCTACACAGACTGCTAATGGTGAGACGTGGGGGGATGGGCCCTAGAGGAGCTGCTCCTTCTCCTGCCTCTCTCCCACATCCCTCACTCCCCAGAAAGGACCCAAGTTCACAGATGCATGGCTATTGTAAGACTTTGCAGAATACAGGCTCCATCAACTCAACCCATCACAGAGGGGATGGTATGATAAGGCTTAGGAATTAGGAGCACACGTCTAGAGGCTGCGGTTTTCTCACTCCCAGAACTGAATACCAGATGGTAACTTTTTAACCATAGCTCAAAGGTAATTTCAAATCCACACAAAAGCTGAAGAGATCCCTTCTGAGATGAAGGAAAAAGAAGAACTTTAAAAGCTAGGTGAAAAAGAGGCACTTAAAGGAAAGATGTGTCCCCACTCTCCCACACGAGTCTCCTGCTGCCAGGCGGCCCCGGGAGGACGCTGCCCTTGCGCGCCTTCAGCACCTTGAATACACCTGCGGCTTACACATGCGCATGGCGAGCCTCTTGCTCAGCTCCCCTAGCAGCCTGATAGCGAAGCAAGTGAAAATGTATGTCATTCTTATTTTTATAATTAAAAAAAAAAAAAAAAAAAAAATCAAACCAGAATGAAAATTTCACACCAAAAAAAAAAAAAAAAAAAAAAAGAATGCTACTCAGTTTTATTCCTTCCTCGTGCTAGTTTTTAAATGATACTTGGTTCTTCAGGAAGGATGACCTGTGGCTTCACCCCCAAGACCTTTTATCCAATTACTAGACAATTATTCACAGCACCATGCACAATAAAGCAGACAGAAAAGAAGGCAACAAGCTAAGGGAAAAATCAAGGACCAGCTGCCTGAGAAAATGGCAGGTACCTACCTGGTCCAGAGATTAGAAAAGAAAATGGCCACGATGACAGCCAAAGACCAGCAGAAGCCAAGTTCACAAACTCAGAGGATGCAGGCTTCCCCTGCCTGACTTTTCTCTGGCCTCTCTCCGGAGCTTGCGTTCACATTACACGGCATTTACACCACATGTTTAGGGTCTACAAGTCTTCGTGAAGAAGTCAAAGAGATATTTAAAACCGTTAATAAGCAGAAGAGTTTCAAAACTGCCAGAATGAAGAACTTTTGGCCACCACAGGTTTTTCTATTTGAAACATTCTTGGTGCCATAATTTCGAAGAGCAACAACGAACAGCACGACCACGACACACACACACAAGTCCTTTGACAAAGCCAGCTCTAACCAGTGCTGGCACCATGAAGATGAGAAAGAAACCACTAACCAAGAGTTGCTGGGCTGCTTAACCTTCCTTCAAAGCTAAAGGGTAGCTGTGAGTATCTATGCAACAAGATGGTAACCACTGCTGCCGTCAGATCCAGCTACTACTCAATTAGACACATCTTGAAAACACTCAGTGAAACATCTAGGTTCAAGTGTAACCTTCGAGATTCTCAAGGTTAGCCTTCTCAATCGATCCCCTAAACCTGTGGTTGTTGCTGTTGCTAGATGTAAAAATTCTTTAATTTCATGTTTGTTTATGTTGATGATGTTTTCATTTCTGGAAGATTGTATGACATGGAACTTCAGAATTCCTTTCAAAAGGAATCTGTCTTGATTGAAAATGTTGCTAAGGTACTTTCGGACTTTCCCTTAACTCCACCGAGAAGGAAGAGGGAATATGTGAGGTCATGTGCATGTAATAGGGCAGGAGAAATAGAAGCAAAGAAGAAGCACATGGGAAAGTGAGATGTCCATAAACTGAAAAACCAATTTACAGAAAGGCATCTGATGTATTTTCTAAATAAGGCCTTGATCAGGGTAACCAATCCTTTTTGTAGCACATTCTACACTGCTCATAAATAAAGGAGTCTTTTTAAATTAACATTTCCAGTATCAATGAACAGTCCAGAAATCCTCATTTCAAGCGTTCGATGAGTCCCTGTGTGAGTCCAAGGTGCAGAAGCTGTGTTCGGGAGAGGTTTGCAAGGTTAGGGAAGGCCGCAAGCAGCTTCTCCCATGCCAGTTCCAGCAGGCTAGGTACCACCAGCCAGATCTTAAACAGTGACCCAGTCCGTTTGTTTTCATGGATGTTCACCACTCCTCCATGAATGTACATGCAACCAGCCTATGAGTAGTCAAAAGAGGACAAATTCAAATGAGAGAGAAACAGACACAAGGCTGAAGACTCAGTGGGGAAAGAGTACAGTAGATGGAATCAAGAAGAAACAAGAATTCCTCACTGATTCCAATATCATGTGGAGATCAAGAGGGTTTAAATAATTAACGAATTACTAAGGGAAAAACTATATATATATGAATTTTTTTTACATCAACAAACAATTTCACTATTAACTAATATTAAACTAAGGCTATATTAAGTATCCAAGGTGCCAAATACTGGGAATACAAAGATGAAAATAAAGGCCTTCGCCTTCAAGAAACCAGTGGGATCTTCAATAATATGGTGTCAAGGAAGTAAAACTATTCCGCCCTTCCAGGAAACACCTTTGACGTCACGGTCAGGGCCAGAATGCCACAGGTACCATTTCTCTTACATTGATGTTATTCTCTCAAATTTGGGTGTGATGAATTTTCTCCTCTTTTCTCAGAGGAGGGCCTAGCTTTGGGAAGGAGGTTGGTGTGCCTATATCCGGGTTTTTTTCTTGCTAGTATCTCTAAAAAGATTTCCTTATCATCTGTAACTACATAAGGAAGGTATGAAAATCAAAACTTACTGGTGTAACAGCTGCACAGTGAAAATAAACTGGCTCGGGCATGGTAGCTGGGAGCTTCACCCACTGGAAAGTCTGCAGATTCAACTTCCAGATATCGCCCAGGATCACCTCTCCATTATAGCCCCCACAAATGAATACATCTATGAAGAAAAGAGAAAGCAAAGATCACATCAAGGAAAAGAGCCAAAGCTACGGAGTGTTTTATAGTAGATCACACAGCCAGCTGACATGTGACAGTGAAGTGGACTGCCCCATGACACAGAGGACTTCTGCTGTGCAGTCTCTCATGCTGTTGTCTTGCTCCTCAACAGAACTGAGACAGTATATCGGGGTCTTCAGTGGGACTAAGGATGCAAACCTCTAAGGAGTCTTCATGTCAAAGTTTCCAAATTCAAACACATACCTACAGATTCCAGGCACGGAAAGTGAATGAACAAGGGGGTCTAGGGAAGATAAACAGAAGTCTCAGGAAAACAGACAGGAATGCTCATGCTCTAAAAGTGGTGACAACTATGCAGCTCTAGCTGTTTGACACCATAAGAGACTTAAGGTTGGCAAGTGCCGGACTGTCTATTTTTTTCAAGGCAAGGTAGAAATCTGGGTATGTTTTTAAAGATGAAACATTTTGTGAGCCGGGCATGGTGGCTCATGCCTGCAATCCCAGCACTTTGGGAGGTTGGGGTAGGTGGATCACGAGGTCAGGAGTTCAAAACCAGCCTGACCAACATGGTGAAACCCCGTCTCTAAAAAAATACAAAAATTAGCTGGGCGAGTGGTGCACGCCTGTAGTCCCAGCTACTCAGGAAGCTGAGGCAGGAGAATCGCTTGAACCCAGGAAGCGGAGGTTGCAGCGAGCTGAGATCATACCACTGCACTCCAGCCTGGGTGACAGTGAGACTCTGTCTCAAAAAAAAGGGAAACATTTTGATTTTTTAGTTTTGGCTACTAATTTTTTTTTTTAAGACAAGGTCTCACTATGTTGTCCAGGCTGGTCTTGAACTCCTGGGCTCAAGTGATCCTCCCACTTCAGCCTCCCAAAGAGCTAGGATTATAGGCATGAGCCACCACAGCTGGCCTAAAAAAATTTTTTAATATACACATAAGCCAAACAAAACACATATGCAGGCCACCAGTTTGCAAACTCTTCTTTAAATAAGGTCCTGGAAAGAATATACATTTATCTGCCCATAGAGACAAAAGTCTCCAGGTAGATTTAACCTGAGGAGGAACATTCACTGCAATGCTCAGTTTAGGAACACAAAAGAGGCTCTTCCAAGCTTTCAGAGAAAAGAGGACAAACTGAAGCTCTGTTTGAGCTGTACAGTTATTACGAATAACTTTCCCAAAATGAAAGGTGTGGGTTTTCTGGTAAAATCAGTTATAACTAATTAGACAACTTGTAACAAAGGCTACGCGAACCTTAAAATGAAATGTGGAGAACTAAGGTTGAATTCTATTTGTACGCTGCTTGGCCTTAAAGAAGTAAGTGAATAAATTTCCTAACTCAGGTCTAGACCAAGTTTAAGCCAATATGTAAGCTATAAAATGCACTGGCAACTTTTTTGGCTAGGATTCAAGGAAAACTTTAAAGTACAGTTCCATTCTCAGAGAGAGAAATGTGAACAATGTCGCTATCTATAAATCTCATTCAGAAAGCAAAGCATAATAGAAAATCCTTCTGTACTAGAGATGGCAGAACAATCCTAGTTATATCTGAACTAAGTTGCTGAAAGCTTACAGGCTATCTAACTCATACATACTTTCCTTTCAGAAAGAAATTTCAGAGCTATAGCAAACAATGAAGTAAGTTATAAATTAAAAGACAGGAAGGTTATCCAGAGAGGAGTCACTTATCACATTTAGTTAAAGTGGCTGCAGCTGCTTTCTGAAGCTATACAATGCTTTAGTTGTAATATGGCCAAAGAATGAGCTAAGAGTTCCATTTGGCATCAGAGAGAGAACAGAATCAACTCTATGAAATACCACTCTAAAGGAGTTATTACAATTTTAATACAATGTTCGCTGAGGTCTCCACAGTATAAACAGTGGAGATTATTAGTATTAGCTACCATAACCACAGACATCTGCTGAGGTGTGGGGTGCTGAAGTGGTACAATAAAACTTATTTATCACCATTTTTTGAGTTCTCTTATAACTGAGGGACCCAAACATCATACTAGTTTACATTATGAAAATGGCTGAGAGAGGCATAACTATGAATTTCCCTATAACTTTCTCAAAGTTATGAGCCTCTTTGAGGGGCTATCATTAGGAAATAAGATGTTTTCAGAAGACACAATTACAGAAATGGAAGCAACATGTTATTTAGAATCCTTACCATTTTTTATTTGAACACAACTGTGACACCTTCGGGCTGCAGGAAAGCCTGCCAAACACACAAACACAGAAGTCCCATTATTTACAGAAGGACTGGGAATCACACTGATATAACACAGTGAAAGAGACACTATCCGAAACTCAAAACAATCCCTTTGTTACATGGGATCAAGCTAACATTAACTAGTCCTTCCACTCCCTCCTTAATTCAAAAGCCTTCAGAAATCTCATCATAACAGTACAATGCTAAGGTGCCAGAAACAAAAGGTAAAGGACAGGAGTTGCTAGTGGCTTTCCCAAGCCATTTTACCCACAAGGAGGTAGGTAGATCTTTATTATTTTTTTATTTAATTTAGACAGAGTCTCACTCTGTTGCCCAGGCTGGAGTGCAGCGACACAATCTCGGCTCACTGCAGCCTCTGCTTCCTGGGCTCAAGTGATCCTCCCACTTCAGCCTCCTCAATATCTGGGACTACAGGTGCACGCCACCACACCCAGCTAATTTTTTGTAATGTTAGTGGAGACAGGGTTTTGCCATGTTGCCCAGGCTGATGTCTAACTCCTGGGCTCAAATGATCCGCCTGCCTTAGACTCCCAAAGTGCTGGGATTATAGGCATGAGCCACCACACTCAGCTGGTAGGTCTTTATTTAAGCTCCAATTTCTTATATCACCCATACTTCCCAGCTTCTGCCAAATAATTCAACAATCCCATTAAAAGCCTCTTTGTTCAATTGCTAAGGAAAAATTATTGTGTTTTTATTATTATTATTTGAGATGGAGTCTTGCTCTCTGTCTCTCAGGCAGGACTGCAGTGGTGCAATCTTGGCTCACTGCAATCTCCGCCTCCTGGGTTCAAATGATTCTCCTGCCTCAGCCTCCCAAGTAGCTGGGATTACAGGTACATGCCACCACCCCCAGCTAATTTTTACATTTTTAGTAGAGATGCAGTTTCACCATGATGGCCAGTTGGTCTCGAACTCCTGACCTCAAATGATCCACCTGCCTCGGCCTCCAAAAGTGCTGAGATTACAGGTGTGAGACACCATGCCCAGGGCTAAGGAAAAATTATAATTGGGCTAAGGAATACAAGTATTTTCTAATACCAGTTCAACAGATTTTTCTTTTTTTTTTTTGAGATAGGGTCTCATTCAGGTGCCCAAGCTGGAGTGTAGTGGCTCAATCATGGCTAACTATGGCCTCTATTTCCCAGGCTCAGGTGATTCTCCCACCTCCACCTCCTGAGTAGCTGGGACTATAGGTGCACACCACCACACTCAGCATATTTTTTTGTATTTTTTATAGAGACAGGCTCTCATGATGTTGCCCAGGTTGGTCTCAAACTCTTGGGCTTAAGTAATCTGCCCACCTTGGTCTCCCAAAGTGCTGAGATTATAGGCATGAGCCACTGCGCCCAGCCCAACAGATATTTTACTTGACACATAACTCAGTAAAATTACTTTTTCCTTCCAAAATGAGTAAAAGTGTAATATACATTTGTTAAAGATAAATTAATCAATACTTTAAATTTACCTATTTTTTCATGGGGTTTTGTTGCAATTTCCTCCCATGCATTCGTTTCAAGGTTGTATGCATGGATCTTGGAGAAAAAAAAGAACATATACACATACATAAATAATTATAATTTTAGCTAGCCTGAAAATGGATTTTTAAAAAATAGACTTTGTTTTTTAGAGCAGTTTTAGGTTCACAGCAAAACTGAGCAGAAGGTACAGTGATTTTCCATACAGAAAACTGGACTTTTAACAGCAGCAGCCTGTGTAAACATATATTCTTAGTTGAAAAGTCTTTCTTCTTTTCCTTTTTTCTGGTCTTTCCAAATATAAAGGAAAACATTAAATGAGGCAGTTGAAAATTAAATACATATGTGATTTCACTTCTTATTTTTATTTTTTATTTTGAGATGGAGTTTCACTCTATCACCCAGGCTGGAGTATAGTGACACCATCTCGGCTCACTGTGGCCTCCATCTCCCAGGTTCAAGCAATTCTCCTGCCTCAGCCTCCCAAGTAGCTGAGACTATAGGTGCCCGCCACCATGCCCAGCTAATTTTTTGTGTTTTTAATAGAGACGGGGTTTCACCATGTTGGCCACGCTGGTCTTGAACTCCTGACCTCAGGTGATCTACCTGCCTTGGCCTCCCAGAGTGCTGGGATTACAGGGATGAGCTACCACACCTGGCCTACTTTTTAAAATTCACAGAAAAAGTGAAAAAAGGGTTGGAATGAGAAGCTGCCATGCATGTGATTCTTGATTTTCTTCTGTATGTTGTAAGTGTTTGTAAGGGAATGTGGGAATTCAGTTTTGACAAAGCTCAAAGAAGACCATTAAGGTTTCAAGGCAGTCCAGGAGCTCTACAGCCTAATCTAGGTTTCCCCTGAGATATGTGACTATGACATTTTAGAAATGCCACAGGAATGGATGAATAACAGCCCTTCAGAGCTCAGCTTTCTGAAGTTCGTGACGTGCAGCTCTAAACAAGTCTGTTCTTTTTAGATACACAGCAAAGATAATGATAGGGATGTGACATTCTGAGAATGCTGGTTCCAATTCTAATTAGTTGCTCCATTCAAGCTACTATGCCTTCCTTTTAGTCACTTTCCTCATCCAACATAAGGGGATAATTTTCATAAAGTATTTTCAGTGTGTGATAAATAACACCTGTCAACTGAGAGCATATTGGGGCAGAGTTCAACCTTATAAAGTGCATCCAACACAAAATAGGTGTTAATGAGGAAAATGCTCAAAAAATTAAAATATCTAAAGTCACAGAATTATCTTGCTTAGTTGACATATGCCTCTTTCTGTCCTTCTGCCTCTCCCTTTTTTTCTTTTTTAAATACATACCTTGTTTAAGGAATATGCTGTCCAGGAAGTACCACCTCCCAAGATGTAAATCCTCTGCCCATCATGTGCAATTTCATGTCGGTATCTGAAAATACACAATAAAATTAGTTTATAATTAAGTGAAAATGATCTACCTAAGATTTAGCTGTAAGGTTTTTATTACATCATTATTTATAATAATAAATTATTGGAAATAACCCAAGTGCTTAACAATAGTGAATTGGTTATATGACTTACAGAATATACATAAAAGGCTTAGTAAGCAACCAATAACAATGTTGGCACCAGAGGGTGGTTAAGGTATCAAGAACTTTTTGTGTGTTATTACTATTTTTATTATTATTATTTTTTTGAGATGAAGTCTCCCTCTGTCACCAGGCTGCAGTGCAGTGGCAAGATCTCGGCTCACTGCAACCTCCAATCCCTGGTTCAAAGGATTCTCCTGCCTCAAGTAGCTGGGACTACAGGCACGCACCACTACACCCAGCTAATTTTTGTATTTTTAGTAGAGATGGGGTTTCACCATGTTGGCCAGGATGGTCTTGATCTCCTGACCTCATGATCCACTCACCTCAGCCTCCCAAAGTGCTGAGATTACAGGTGTGAGCCACCATGCCCAGCTGTGTCATTATTTTTTTAATCAATTGCATTAAAAATTTATAGATATATAAATATATACAAAAAATAACTATTAGGATATAATCTAAAACATTAAACCTGGTTATTTTTGAATTTAGAATTGGTTTTTTATTTTCTTCATTTTGCTTACTATTTTCTAAATTTTTCTATAATCTTTTGTGGTTATGTAAGTTATTACATAGTTTTAAAAAGTCATCTGCCTACATTTAGAGGCCTTAGACTATGAGTTTGCAAATTAAGATACTTATTTAGCAGAAAATTATGCTACATAGAACTGTAAATATAATATAAAACACCTACCAGAATTTTAGCCAAGCAGTCTAGCTAAAAGCTAAAATAATTTATAATATGTCCATAAAATGTCTCAAAGAAAGCAACCATGTGAAAATACTTTGAAAACTTAATCTATTTCCTTCTTTACCTAAAGGTCTTGTTGCTCAAAAAATGAATTATGTCAAAATCAGTGCAGTAAGAAGCCATCTCTCAAGTCCTCTCATGGTAGTTTTACAATGATCAGTCCACTAACATACTACAATTAAGAAAAATTCTTCCTTAGCACCTATACACTATTTTGTTTAAAGAGGCAACAAAGAGACACAGGGTTAGTCTAAACAGAGTTAATAAAAATGGTTTACTGTCTTTGCTTTCAAATTGGAAGAGAAAAAAAATCTCTTCGGGTCGGGCGCGGTGGCTCAAGCCTGTAATCCCAGCGCTTTGAAAGGCTGACGCGGGTGGATCACGAGGTCTAGAAATCGAGATCATCCTGGTCAACATGGTGAAACCCCATCTATACTAAAAATACAAAAAATTGGCTGGGCATGGTGGCGTGTGCCTGTAATCCCAGCTACTCGGGAGGCTGAGGCAGGAGAATTGCCTGAACCCAGGAGGCGGAGGTTGCGGTGAGCTGAGATTGCGCCATTGCCTGGGTAACAAAAGCAAAACTCCGTCTCAAAAAAAAAAGAAAAAAGAAAAAAAATCTCTTCAAGTGTTTCAGTGAGATTAATTCCAAGAGGCAACTGCTACTAGAAGGCAACTAGAGAGAATCATGTGATGTTTGAATGTTTAACAGAACATTCATTTAAAATGAATGACCTTTCCATCATTCATCCACCCATCTATCCACATAACCTTCCTTCCATCTATCCAATCATCATTTACTGGGCATCACTGTGGGTATGGCCCTGTGTCCTATACTGAGGATATGTCGGTGAGTGAATGAGCCAAAGAATTCCAATATGCAAGTTAGGAAGGGAAATCAGGTTCAGCATGGTGGCTCACGCCTGTAATCCCAACACCCTGGGAAGCCAAGGTGGGCAGATCGCTTGAGCCTAGGAGTTTGAGAAGTAGCCTGGGCAACATGGTGAGACCTCAACTATATAAAAAAAATTTTTTTTTAAATTAGCTGGACATGGTGGCACAGGTCTGTAGTCCCAGCTACTTGGGGGACTGAGATGGGAGAATGGCTTGAGCCTAGGAGGTCGAGGTTGCAGTGAGCCATGATGATGTCACTGTGCTCCAGCCTAGGTGACAGAGTGAGACCCTTTCTCGGAAAAAAAAAAAAAAAAGGTGAAATCAAAAAGTAACTGGAAAGTAATTGTTTTGCCTGTAATATGAAATCTAGTTATAAATGCTACCACTGGTTTCTTCTTCAAAGTGTTACTATCTTAATGCAGAAAGACTAAGGTATAAGAGGAAATGCCATGGAAAAAATTGTATAGTTTAGAAGGAAGTACTATTTCCTCACCAGAAGAACTTTTTGTACTATAGCCCTTTCTTTACAACCTACCTGAGATCTAACATCCAGCAGCCAGTTAGTTATCCTAACTAGGGCTAAAGGGTTCTTCATACTGCCAGTGCTTTGAAAGAGTCAAATGCTAGCACGAAAGAATGAACCTGCCTTAACCCTAGATCCCCACCTCTCTTCCGGCAGATCACAGGATAGGTTGTTTGGTTTCAGCTGTGTCCACTCTCTGGTATTGAGATCTAACTTGTGCAGGTCTGTGCTGTAAATATAGCCGGTTGTCCCTCCAAAGACATAAAGGGAGCCGTTGATGATGGCCATAGCCTGGATAACAAGGAAAGGTGAGTAAGACTGACTTGTTAACACTTGATTAAAGAATGTAAACTTACCAGGTACCTCCAACTCAGGTTTTATGAAATTCTCTTGTACTTTTTAATCTTTTTAATATATCAGACTCTTAAAGGACTAAAGATTTTAGAGAACCCAGAGATCATTTTAAGAACCTGGAAAACACCTTTAGAAAGGTAAAGCTTTACTCAACTGGAAAGCGAGTCCTACCTGCCAAGATGTTTCTTAAGGGTCCTGGCCAATCAAATAATTTCTAGCCCATGCGCATAAGCATTTCCATTGAAAGCTGCTTCTCTCTATAAGCAGTCTGAAGAAAAATGCTCTCAAGAAGTAGCAGATATGAAAATAGGTCACTACAATCTCCTAAGTAAAAAGCCTAGTCAGGAGTTCAAGGAACTTGACCTTTTCCACTGGACTCTTTTCAGTGTAAGTTTCGGCTATTGTTATATCCACTTCTCAAAATTTACAGGCCTCGCCGGGCGCGGTGGCTCATGCCTGTAATCCCAGCACTTTGGGAGGCTGAGACGGGTGGATCATGAGGTCAAGAGATCAAGACCATCCTGGTCAACACAGTGAAACCCCGTCTCTACTAAAAATATAAAAAATTAGCTGGGCATGGTGGTGTGTGCCTATAATCCCAGCTACTCAGGAGGCTGAGGCAGGAGAATTGCCTGAACCCAGGAGGCGGAAGGTTGCGGTGAGCCGAGATCGCGCCATTGCACTCCAGCCTGGGTAACAAGAGCGAAACTCCATCTCAAAACAAAAACAAAAACACAAATTTACAGGCCTCTAGTGGAAGCAACAGAGTTATCTAGTGTGTGCTCCTTTAAAGTTAGGCTCAGAAGCTGTTTATCAGTACTAATGCCAGCGAGTCAAGACAGGAGCCAAAGCTTGGTTGTTTTAAGCTTAGACTCTCAGAGTCTCTGATGTGTGGTGGGTTGCTCCCTATCTTTCTGGATATAACTTTTCAGACCTAAAGTTTGAAGCACTGGAACCTAAACTAATCTCTGCATAATATATGTTTAGCTCAGACCCACATAAAAATTTCTTAACCAAGTGCTTTCTCATCTACTCAAGAATCACTCTAAAAGTTACCAGGACTCAAATCACAGTGGAGCCCAATCTCTTATTGGGAGTGAGGGTAGGGGTGGAGGTTGGGTTTTAACATTTAAAATAACTTCCATACATATCTATATCCTGAGCTAAATTGAATTAGAAACAGAAAGTTAAAAAAAAAAAAAGAAAGAAAGAACAGAAGAGAAAAGAAGAAAAGAACATGGTAAGTAACCAGATTTAGAAATTATAATTTCACATCAGAACTAAAAATCAAGTACTAATCACAAAGAACACTTCTCCATTAAAATAAAATGGTAACAACTACAAATATTCTAACACCATCCCCAGGCTAGAAAAATATGAACAAATACACCATGATTGGCCATAGATTAGTACCTGTCCATATATACGACTGGGTTTCTTCCCCCGACAGCTGAGTAAAGCCCATCTCTTATACTTCACGTTACACACATGGACGTCATTGCCGTTGCTCTCTCCAAATGGGATGCCGGTACCTCCAAACACTAACAGGTTGTTTCCATGCAGCACAACTGAGGAAGGAGAAGCACAAATTCCATTCACATGATGGCTACCTGCAATGTGTTCCCACATAAACCCATAATATCTGAGAAGCTAACACGTATCTACCTTAATGATCTTATAAGATAGCTCAAACCACTGACATCTAACTACTAGCTGAGCATACCAAATCTAAAAATCTGAAATCTAAAATCCTTCAAAATCCAAAACTTTCTGTGTATCAACAATGATGCTTAAAGGAAATGCTCACTGGAACATGTTGGATTTCAAAGTTTTGGATTTGGGATACTAAGTACAATGCAAATATTTCAAAATAAAAAAAAATTATGAAATGTGAAATACTTTTGGTCCCAAATATTTCAGAGAAGGGATACATAGCCTATACTAGAAAGTTCTGCAGAAAAAGATCTAACTCCACTATACAGGATATATCATATAGTTCACTGCTAGTTACATATGACATTTTCAACACATGTTTATGGAATTCACTAAACACTGTGTACAACAATATTGAGTTCTATGAACTACAGTCTACCCAGTATACCACTGTTGCTAAAGACAGTTAAGTATGCAGCAAAGCAGAGAAAAATGAAGTATCATCTTTGATCTCAGCTTACCGCAGTCTTGATCTCTGGGGCTCAAGTGATCCTCCTGCCTCAGTTTCCCAAGTGGCTGGGACTACAGGTGTGTGCCACCATGCCTAGCTAACTTTTGTATTTTTTTGTAGAGACAAGGTTTTGCTATGTTGACCAGGCTGGTCTTGAACTCCTCTGCTCAAGCAATCTACCCACCTTGGCCTCCCAAAGTGCTGGGATTACAGGTGAGGCACCACATGGTGGTTTGGAACTAAACCCATGATATCTCTGAGGTGTGCCTGTACTTTGCTCAGCAGCTATTAACTGTCATCATCATGAGCCCCATTTGTTGACCTTATACTACATTTTGCCTAGCATATACATGATACTTTATGTTGAACCCTCTAAGATTTTATTAATCCCATTTTACAAGTTAGAAAATTAAAACTAAAACTCACCTGACAAGCAAATCATATACAGCTGAATTCAAACTCTGGACCTAAATAATTTGGAATCACCATGCTATATTATTGCCCTAGTAAAAGCCTATCCAACCGCAGAGCTAAATCACATTACAGTATTATAAATTATTAATGAGGAATATGGGACATTGAACCTGGCTTCTCAGATATTCCATAAAGTCTAGAGTTAAGAACTGCTTGCACTCACGTGACATAGATGCCAGTTCCCGGGGCATGTAGCCATCTGTCCCCATCTGGTGCCATACTCCTGTAGCAAAATGATACCTCCAGAGTTCCCTGAAGAGAGGATAGTCTTCATTATCAGGCCCTCCCGATTCATCATAATCTGGGTTATAACCTCCAAACACATATAGGTTGGTATTATCTGCCACGCAACGATGTCCACTTCGTGCTGGGGGAGGTCTGTGGCCTAGGAGAGAAGAGGACAGTTTTCCACCGGTTGTCCTGCCAGTTAAAAAGTCCAAACAAAATTAGGTAACAACCATTTTAGCCTTAAAAGGGGATCAGGAAAGAATTATAACATGGATATGCTTCTTATTTGTTTAGATTTATAACATGGATATACTTCTTAATAATATTTCTTCACATATAGCACTTAAGATTTTAAGGAGCTAGTCTCTACTATTTCATATGACTACCTTCAGATTTTGATAACTGTAAAAAGCATGATAAATTCAAGAAAATGGCTGACAACTTGAAATTTTCAAGAAAAATAGAAGGAAGTTTTAATAATCCAAAAGCTAACAGGACAAATTTTCTTATTTCCTTAGAGGAGAAAAAACACAGGCCAACTAAATCAAACTGTGAATTAGAGAACTAAATAAATATAATCACGAATATGAATGAGTCATGTATAAATAAAAATACACACACATAAAATCTTTGATTTTTCTGCAAGATATAATTATATACTTAAAGTGAAAACTGGCTGTTAAAGAGTTACAGCAAAATTTTGAATTTAAATAACATTCCAGATATTATGGTGGTTAACAAAGAATCTCCTTATATTTATCTCAGAGAGCGTCTTTCATCCTATTAAGAGGTTTACTAGGAAAAGTTATTTCTACAATTTATATTTGAGTGTTCTGAAGTCTAAATTATGTCAACTAGTTTACTAAAAATTACTTCAAGATTATTTTAGAGTAAAAAAAAAACAAACTCTATAATAATTTTTATCTTTAAAATTTTCATACCAATCTATACAAACCCTTGCCTAACTTCAGAACCAGAGATGCTTAAATATATAATGGGTGGAGTAAGAAGCTACTGTAGTTGTGACCCTACAGAGCAACCCACTTTTACGTGTTGGTAATAGATACTAGTATCAAGATAATACTAGGACAACACTAGACACCTAATAATCATGTTATACATTTATTACCCACCTAATACAGGCCTTCTATATTTACTTTTTAACATCAAAATCCCACTTTCTAAGGTTATGTTTTTAAACAAGAACTGAAATTGTGCACAGATGGAGAGCAACTAAAAAAGAGTGAATCACTGAGTCACTCAGGTCCAACTCCTCGCCACTCAAGTACCAAGTCATCTGCTCAGCATGTTAGAGCTGTTCTCCTGCTAACCTTGTCCTACCATCAGTTTCTCACACTTCTCTCTGCTAGGAAAGCCCAGAGTCCCTCCCTTACCCCTTGGCCTAGTCTACCTACCTACCCTTCAATCTAGTTGGAAACAGACTTAGGAAATACCTAAGTCTAGTGCAAACAGCCCTTCTCATCAATAAAACCCTGGGACCCTTCCAGTTCAGTACCATACTACTCATATATTAGTGTATACATGTATAATTAATAAGATGATCACACATAACTATGTAAATACACGAATATCAGGCAAACTATAATCAGTTGGCAAATTTACTGAGCTATGATTTACCTTAAGTGAAGAACTCAACTTCTCTTTCTAGGACTCTTGAAACAGGAAGTGTGGTGTGGAAGTAAAAATAAAAGCTCCTATAAATGTCTAAGTTTGAATCCCGGTTCTAATTGCTACTTTGAGCCAGTCACTGACCCTTGCATAGTCTCAGATTTCTCATTTGCATATTTGGATACTATTAATGTGCTTCAAACATTTGTTGTTTGTCATGTTGAAATGTTATTGGTTTACACATGTAACTTTCTAGGAGGCTGTGAGCTATCTGAGGGAGGGGGAATACATTTGTATTCACCTTCTATAACCAAGCCTGGGGCACACATTAGACACTAACCAAACTGGGAACCAACTCATTTGGCATTTAATTTTCTCTACCCATTTTGCCAGTTTGTTTTTCTTCTCCAAATAGATGATAAGTTCCTTGAGGGTAAAGATCATGTATGATAATTATCCCGTATCACCTACAACACCTGAAACAGGTGGAGCTCCTAACAGGTACTAGAAGTTGGGCTGACTTTAAGGTCAGGTCAAAGTAAACAGTGACAGGGATGATTAAAACAGTGTTCAACTCTCAGTGGACTTTGATATTACTATGCCTAACAGATATATGGTTTAGGGAATGAGTGTTGCATTATGCAGTGTTCTCAAGACACAAATCCCTCTTTCTAAGAATTAGCAAGACAAATTTAAAGAAGAAATCTAACAGAGTTACTATGGTCAGCAGACAGGAACTCTAAAAATCTCTGTCATTTGCTGTATTGCTTAAAGCAAATAGATAATTTTTAAAGCCGCTTTTGGCCAAATATGAAAAGAAATACAGTCTATTCTACATTTTCTCTAAATGGCTATATAGTAGGTTAAAAGTGTATTGCCAACTATTTCTGTGACAAATATAATTCACAGATTACACAGTTGAGGAGTCTGTGAAATGGTAGTTTCATATTTCTCTACTCACTCATTCAGGTCAAAAATATTGGGCCAGACATGGTGGCTCACACATGTAATCCCAGCAGGTTGGGAGGCTGAGGCAGTTGGATCATCTGAGGTCAGGAGTTCAAGACCAGCCTGGCCAACATGGTGAAAACCCATCTCTTCTAAAAATATAAAAACTAGCTGGCATGGTGGCTGGGAGCTGTAATCCCAGCTACTCGGGAAGCTTAGGCAGGACAATTGCTTGAACCTGGGAGGCAGAGGTTGCAGTGAGCCGAGATTGCGTCACTGCATTCCAGCCTGCGTGACAACAGCAAAACTCCATCTCAAAAAAAAAAAAAGAAAAATTATTATTGGATGATGCCTATGTACTCAGTACCACGTACTGTGGTAGGTGCTGGGACACAATGATAAGGCAATGACTACCTCTGTCCTCAGGAGCTTACCGTACAGCCTGCACAGCACAAGTCAGTAGCCATGCCGTAACACGTGGCTCCTAAGCACTAGAAATGTGAGTGATCCAAACTGAGCTGTGCTTTACATGTAAAATACCCCCTGGATTTCAAAGACTTAGTACCCAAAAATGAATGTAAAATTATTAGTTTTTATATTGATTAGATGTTGAAATGGTATTTTTTTAAATACTGGGTTAACTAAAAATATTAAAATTAATGTTACCTATTTGTTTTACTTTTTCAAATGTGGGTACTAGAAACATTTTAATTTTGTGGTTCACCTATTTCTGACACAGTGCTGATCCAGCCCAACTGTTGGCTTCTGTTAATAATTTCACAATCTCTGCAAATCACACTGTTGGGTAAAGAGCATCTAATCAATATTTGATAAATATTAAACATCCTGTCAAGGAATCTTATAGCTGGGAGTAAAAAGGCAACTCCTCTTCTCTGTCACCAGTAACTACAGATTTCTTTCTCATATTTATAGCCCAAGAGTGACTAACATATTAAAAAGCCATGTCATTTTGGATAAACCATGGGAATTTGTCTGGGTTAATGCCATGAAGACCAAGTATTAATTTTTATTAGGTGAAATATAGCATAGGCTCCTCGACCTTGACAAAACCGAAATTGGGTTTCAGAGTCTAAAGCAGCTCTTTAAATCCTCCCCCAAATTCTCCATGTGCAAATCCCATTTTCCTAAAAATTACTTACTGCTAATAAAATCTACCATAGAATTGGTTTACCTGATTCAGGAACTCCTACTGGAAAATGTAAAGTAAAAAATTAAAACAGAACCTGTATTCACAGGTGAACACTTAATACCCAGAAGGGAACATGAAGCTAAAGGATTATGTACCTATGATGTCTGACCCATCTTCTCTTCCATGTCAAAAGGACTTGCTCTTTACCCCAGGGAGCAAGCAAGAACTTACAGTAACCAGAGAAACGGGTTTTAGTGTCTAGCCCAAAGGCAGAAAGAAGCTAGCTGTCTGAGATAATGTGACAGAAGATTAGGTTGTTTCCAGTGTTTTCACTATTATAAATAATATTGTAATGAAGCTTCCTCTATATATATTTGTAAGCAAATGTATGAGAATTTCTGGGTCAAAGAAATATGCATTTAACATTTTTATAGAAAAAATGATAAATGCAAAAATACAAAACAAAAAATTTTTTATAGATATAATACTGTTATAGGGCCATATTGCTCTCCAAATAGAATGGACCAATTTATACTCCCAGCAATGTATATGCAAGTGCCCACTTCTTCATGCTTTCTTTAAACTTCTCACATTTGTGCCAATCTCATGGGTACAAACTGGTGTCAGGTTAATTTCCATTTTCTTGATTTTACCAGTTCACATGTTTATCGGCCCATTTGTATTTCTTCTTTTTGGAACTGCCCGATCGTATCCTTTGCCTATTTTGGATCTATTAAGTTGTCTTCTCACCATTTTGTAATTTTTTTTTTCTTTTTCCTTTGAGACAGGGTCTTACTCTGTCACCCAGGCTGAGTGAGACCCTGCAGTAGCATAATCACAGAGCACTGCAGCTTGACCTCTCTTCCTCAAGAGATCCTCCCCCCTCAGCCTTTGGAGTAGTTGGGTCTATAGGCATCAGCCACCACACCAAGCTAATTTTTAAATTTTTTGTAAAGATGAGGTATTACTATGTTGCCCAGGCTGGTCTTGAACTTCTAAGCTCAAATGATCATCCTTCCCCAGCCTTCCAAAGTGCTGGGATCACAGGCATAAGCCACTGAGCCAGACCCCAAATGAATTATGTTTGTTTTTTCCAGGCTGCTCCTTGTCTTTTGTTTATGGCATCTATTAACATACAAAGGTGTTTATGTAACTGAGTCTGTCAATCTTGTCTTTTACAGCTCCCTTGTTCCATAACTCATTCACCTCTGAATTATAAAATGGTTAAAATATTCTCATTTATCCTGAATAATTTCATGTTTCAATTTTTTATATTCAGAATTTGAATACATCAGAATTTATATTTTTGTGTGTTGTATGCAGTAGGGCTCTAATTTTTCCTCCCAAAATAGACAGGCTACTGTTCCCAAATCACTTAAAGAAAGCCACCCCTCCTATAATTATTTAAAATGACACCTTTATCATATACTAAATCGACATGTTCTAAACTGGCATTAGGAAAATCCCAATATTCAGGTCTAATCACCTTGGATACAAAATGTATTGCTCTTTAAGGATATATAAATATTAAAATATGTAAATAATATGCAAATATATAAAAGAACACAGAAGCTTAAATGCAAAAGCTTGCAAATCAAGTAGCATATAATATTTATTGCTTAATAAATCTATTACTCACAAGATGTAGCCATCTCCAGATGTGCTAATGAACATTTGTAGTGAGGCCATTTTTTAAAATAAAAACTTACTGCTAAAAGTATTTATTGGTTATAAATATCAAACAGGCTAAATGATAAATCAATTTAACTGGTTACTTCTTTCCAAAAATAAAGGCCACAACTACCTCTACCACAAAAGACAGGTCTTCTGTTAGACCTAGAAGTCTTAAGGAAAGCCAAGGAAGTCTGATCCAGTTAGCTCCTCCATATCCCCCAAATGGCAGGTACAACTTTTTACTACTCCCAGAGGCCAAGTTGCTCAGACCAAACAATCCATTCACATCAGCCCACAATATTACTTGTTGGTTATATAAGCATCTCCTACCACAGGGCTTCCCAAAGTGCTGGGATTACAGGTGTGAATTACCATGCCTGGCCCTCATTACCACATTGTTTTAATTATTATAGCTTTGAACTATCTTTCGATATCTAGAATAAATTTTTGTATTACTTTTTCCCAAAAACTTCTAGCTATTTTTCTCCACTTACTTTTGCAATGAATTTTAGAATGAGTCTGTTAAGTCTATAAAAAGTCCTGTGGACAGAGAGCATCTTAACCAGGTGATCAAAATTAAAATAACCAGTAACAAGACAAATCAATCAACATAATGTGCAATGTTATTTCAGTGGTAGTCCTGCCAAAAATACATAAGCTGAATATAATTATGAGACAACAGAGAAAAACCAAAACTAAGGGATGTTTTACAACATAACTAGTCTGCAACTGTTCAAAAATATCAATGTCAAAAAAGACAAATGCTGAGAAACTGTTCAACACTGAAAGAGGATAAAAACACATGAAAACAGAACGCAACACACAATCTCGGATTTTCTACTGCTATTAAAGAACATTATTAGCTGGGTGCAGTGGCTCACACCCAGCACTTTGGAAGGTCAAGGCAGACAGATCGCCTGAGGTCAGGAGTTCCAGACCAGCCTGGCCAACATGGTGAAAACCCATCTCTACTAAAAATACAAAAATTAACCAGGTGTGGTGGTGGACACCTGTGAACCCAGCTACTTGGGAGGCTGAGGCAGGTGAATCATTTGAACCCAAGAGGCAGAGGTTACAGTGAGCTGACACTGCACCATTGCACTCCACCCTGGTGATCGAACGAGACTCCGTCGCAAAACAAGCAAAACATTATTAGGATAGTGGCAAAATAATAATGGCAAAATCTGAAACAAGGTCTGTAACTTACATACTAGTATTAATTTTACCCATTATTTATGGGGTTAATAATCAGTGTTGATGCCTAATTTTGATACATGTTCTGCAGTTACTGAAGAGAATGTCTGTTTTACAGGAGCAAACACTTTAGTACTTAGACATGAAGAGATACGGCAAAATAATGAAACCCTAATTCTACCAACCCCGCCAAAAAAATTACCTGGGCATGGTGGTGTATTTCTGTAGTCCCAGCTACGTGGGTGGCTGAGGTGGGTGGGAGGATCACTTGAGTGCAGTAAGCTATGATTGCACCCCTGCACTTCAGCCTGGGTGATAGAACAAAATTTCATCTCTAAAATTTCTAATTTTTGAATTTTTTTTTTTAAAGAGACATCAGCTGGGCGCGGTGGCTCACATCTGTAATCCCAGCACTGCGGGAGGTCAAGGCAGGTGAATCACTTGAGGTCAGGAGCTCAAGACCAGCCTGGTCAACATGGTGAAACCCCGACCCTACTAAAAAAATACAGAGCATGGTGGCGCATAACAGCAGTCCTAGCAATTCAGGAGGTTGAGGCGGGAGAATCGCTTGAACCTGGGAGGCAGAGGTTGCGTGAGCCCAGATTGCGCCACTGCACTCCAGCCTGGGCGACAGGGTGAGACCCTGTCTCAAAAAAAAAAAAGAGAGAGACATGTCTGCAATTTTCAAATGGTTGAAACAGAAAAATATGCATATATGTATTGTGTACAAAGTGGGGAAGGAGACAGGAGAGGGAGCAGGATAAAGCGAAAGAGAAAATAACATTTGGGGAATCTGGGTAAAAGATATAGGAGAATTTTTCTTTCTTTTTTTTTTTTTTTGAGATGGAGTCTCGCTCTGTCGCCCAGGCTGGAGTGCAGCGCCTCAATCTCAGCTCACTGCAACCTCCACCTCCAGCACTCAAGCAATCCTCCCACCACCTCAGCATTCCGAGTAGCTGGTACCACCGGCGCGCACCACCACGCCCAGCTATTATTTTGTATTTTTGGTAGAGACGGCGTTTCGCCTGGTTGCCCAGGCTGGTCTCGAGATTGGTAACTCATGAGCCCAAATGATCCACCCATCTCAGCCTCCCAAAGTGCTGACATTACTGGCGTGACTCACCATGCCCAGACAGGATACAGGAGAATGTCTACCATTTTTGCTTTTTTTTTTAAATGGAGTTTCGCTCATTGCCCAGGCTGGAGTGCAATGGCGCCATCTCGGCTCATCGCAACCTCCGCCTCCAGGGTTCCAGCGCTTCTCCTGCCTTAGCCTCCCGATTAGCTGGGATTACAGGCATGCACCACCACGCCCGGCTAATTTTTGTATTTTTAGTAGAGACGGGGTATCACTATGTTGGTCAGGTTGGTCTCAAACTCCTGATGTCGTGATCTGCCATCCTCGGCCTCCCAAAATGCTGGGAATCCAGGCGTGAGCATTTTTGCAATTTTTGTCAAACCGGAAGTTACGTGGAAATTAAAATGCAATTCTTAAAAAGTCCCTTGAGGATTTTATCGGAATAGCCCATTAAGGAACATAATCCCTAGCCACTTATTCTTTTTGCTTTTTTTTAATATCCATGAGTATAGCATTTTGTTTTTTTGTTTGTTGATACGCAGTCTCGCTCGGTCGCCTAGGCTGGTGCGCGATCTCAGCTCACTGCAACTTCCGCCCTCGGGTTCAGGCGATTCTCCCACCTGAGTGGCTGGAACTACGGGCACACGTGACCTCAACCCGCTAGTTTTTTCTTTTCTTTTTCGAGTAGTCTTTGTCGCCCCAGATGGAGTGCAGTGGCGCGATCTAAACTCACCGCTACCTCCGCCTCCCGGTTCCAGTGATTCTACAACCTCAGCCTCCTGAGTAAGTAGAGACTATAGGCGCGGCCCACTGGGTCTGGGATTTTATCTTTTTGAGACGGGAGTCTCACTCCGTCGCCCAGGCTGGAGTACAGCGGCGCGATCTTGGCCAACCTCGGCCTCCTGGGTTTCAGCAATTCTCCTGCCTCAGCCTTCCGAGTAGCTGGGATTACAGGTGTGCGCGATGATGCTTGCCTAATTTTTGTATTTTTAATAGAGAGGGGGTTTGGGTTTCGCCATGTTGGCCAGGCTGGTCTTGAACTCCTAACCTCTCAGGTTATCCACCCACGTTGGCCTCTCAAAGAGCTGGGATTACAGGCGTAAGCTACCACACCCGGCCAATTTTTGTACTTTTCGTAGAAATGGAGTTTCACCATGTTGGCCAGGGTGGTCTTGAACTCCTGACCTCAGGCCATCCACCCACCTCGGCCTCCCAAGGTGTTCGGATTTCAGGCATGAGCCATAGCGCCTGGCTGTCCAGCTAGTTTCTGTATTTGATAAGTATAGTTTCATTTTCTTCTCTTTTCTAAATACTCTATAAATTTCCATACAATTTTAAATAGATAACCTCTTTTATCTTCTAACTGGTTGCTGTTAATATGTAGGAAGGTGATTTATTTTTGCACGTTTAAATTTTGTCCACCCAATTTTCTGAACTCTAGTGTTAGTTTATCATGTATTATCTTGAATTTTATAGGTACACAATCAGATCGTCTGTTGTTAATGCCAACTTTAACTCTTCCTTTCCAATATGTGTACCTCTTTTTTTTCTTTTTTCTTTTCCTTGTCTTCTACTGTATTGGCTGAAAACTCCTGAACAAGGTTGAATAGTGGAAATGACAGTGGGCATCTTTATCTTGCTTTTTATTTATTTTTAATTCTTCGGCATGCACCTGCATGTCTTTTTTTTTTTTTTTTTTACTTTCATGAGGATACTGTGATACCTCATATACAATGTTTACTACTGTTTTGTTTTTTGAGACGGAGTCCACTCTTGTTACCCAGGCGGGAGTGCAATGGGGCGATCTCGGCTCACCGCAACCCACTACTGTTTTTCTTTTTGTGTAGAGACGGGGTTTTCACGGTGTTAGCAAGTATGATCTCGATCTTCTGACGTCATGATCCGCCCACTCTGACCTCCCAAAGTGCTGGGATTACAGGCGTGAGCCACCGCACCCAGCCCTACAACTGATTTCTTTTTTTTCTGAGATGGAGTTTTGCTCTTGTTGCCCAGGCTGGAGTGCAATGGGGCGATCTCGGCTCACCACAACCTCCGCCTCCTGGGTTCAGGCAATTCTCCTGCCTCAGTCTCCTGAGTAGCCGGGATTACAGGCATGCGCCACCATGCCCAGCTAATTTTTTGTATTTTTAGTAGAGACGGGGTTTCACCATGTTGACCAGGATGGTCTCGATCTCTTGACCTCGTGATCCACCTGCCTCGGCCTCCCAAAGTGCTGGGATTACAGCTGTGAGCTACCGCGCCCGGCCCTACTGGTTTCTTATAGTATTCTGTCACAAAATAAATCTTTTATCCCTGGATGCTTAAGAATGTTTTCCCTTACCAGGAATGGATGTGGGGTACTTATCTATTTATACAATCACTGCTCACTGCAGCCTTGACCTCTCAGGCTTAAGCAATCCTCTATCTCAGTCTCCCAAGTAGCTGGGACCACAGGTGCGTACCACCACACCTGGCTAATTTAAAAAAATTTTTTTCCTCTTTTCCATCCGAGTCTGCTTGCCAGGGAAATTTTTAAATTTTTTTAAGAGACAAAGTGTTGCCTAGGCTGGTTTCCAACTCCTGGGCTCAAGAGATCCTCCTGCCTCAGCCTCCCAAAGTGCTGGGATTACAGGCATGAGCCACTGTGTGCCCAGCACAAAGTTTGTATTCAAATGTAACATACTGAAAAGCACATGTCATGTGGGCACTAGATACATTTTAACAAAACGAACACATTAAATATCAAAGTTTATTAAATGTTTTATTTAATACAGCAAAGTCACACTTTTTCTTTAAGCCTATTAAAATAGTAAACTAAATACATTCCAGAGATAAGGCCCATTTGATGATTTTATTTAGATTTGCCCCTGCAATCTTATGTTTTTTATTTACCACTTTATTGCTTTATTTTCCCACTTTTCTGATCTTATTGAAATAAGGTCTCTTTTCTCCCACAAAGATCTACATCTTATTACTCCTAATATTTTCTGAAAAACAAACTTTTATTTTTTTAACACTCTTCAGAATAAACCACATCTGGAAAGAAACTCGCCTGTTAATGGTGGTTGAGTGAAGATGTGAGGCAGGATCTTTGCTTTTAAAATTTAACTCCTTTTACTGTTAAATATGGTATGCATTAGAATTTACATAAATATAAATGCACAGTTTAACAAATTATTAAAAAGAGAAACCTAACTATCATCCAGCTCAAGAAACTGAATACTGCATCAAGACCTTAACAAATTACTAAAATAGGAACATATAATCATCATCCAGGTTAAGAAACAAAACAGCGCCAGCACCCAGATACTGGCAGCACTCCGCCTGCCCGTCTTGGTCACACCCTCCAGCCTTCACTTCTGGAGTATCCTACTTCCTAATTTTTAGGGCAATGATAAAATCTGTGTCTTTTTATAGCTTTATTATATCTAGGTATGCATCCCTAAACAATACTGTTTATTTTGACCTAGTTTTTTTTTTTTTTTTTTTGTACTTTAGGTTCTGGGGTACATGTGCAGCTCATGCAGGATTGTTGCATAGGTACACACATGGCAATGTGGTTTGCTGCCTCCATCCCTGTCACCTACATCTGGCATTTCTCCCCATGTTATTCCTCCCTGACCTCCCCATGCCCCCACTGTCCTTCCCTTGGCCCTCCACCAACAGACCCCACTGTGTGCTGCTCCCCTCCCTGTGTCCATGCATTCTCATTGTTCAACACCCACCTATGACTGAGAACATGTGGTGTTTGATTTTCGGTTCTTGTGTCAGTTTGCTGAGAATGATGGTTTCCAGATTCATCCATGTCCCTACAAAGGACACGAACTCATCGTTTTTGTTTATGGCTGCTCAGTATCCCATGGTGTATATGTGCCACATTTTCCTTGTCCAGTCTATCATCGATGGGCATTTGGATTGGTTCCAAGCCTTTGCTATTGTAAACAGTGCCCCTGTGAACACACATGTGCATGTGTCTTTATAATAGAATGATTTATATTCCTTTGGGTATATACCCAGTAATGGGATTGCTGGGTCAAATGGAATTTCTCTTTCTAGGTCCTTGAGGAAACGCCACACTGTCTTCCACAATGGTTGAATTAACTTACACTCCCACTAACAGTGTAACAGTGTTCCTATTTCTCCACATCCTCTCCAGCATCTGTTGTCTCCAGACTTTTTTAATCATCACCATTCTAACTGGTGTGAGGTGGCATCTCAATGTGGTTTTGATTTGCATTTCTCTAATAATCAGTGATGATGAGCATTTTTTCCATATGTTTGTTGGCCTCATATATGTCTTCTTTTGAAAAGTGTCTGTTCATATCCTTCTCCCACTTTTGGATGAGTTTGTTTTTTTTCTTGTAAATCTGTTTTGGTTCTTTGTAGATTCTGGATATTAGCCCTTTGTCAGATGGGTAAATTGCAAAAATTTTTTCCCATTCTGTTGGTTGCTGGTTCACTCTAATGATTGTTTCTTTGGCTGTACAGAAGCTCTGGAGTTTAATTAGGTCCCATTTGTCTATTTTGGCTTTTGGTGTTTTAGTCATGTTTTAAAGCGTATTTGAATAGAATAATATAGTATGTAGCATAATATAGTATGTATTCTTCCCGGGCTCTTTTATTCGCAATTATGTTTTTGAGATTCATCCATGTTCTAGGGGAGCAGAGGTGGTCTTTTCATTTCCCTTGCCAAATACTATTTATTCGTATGACTATATACCACAATGTATCCAGTCTAAGTTGCATGAATAGGCATTTGGGGTTGTTTCAAATTTGTGGTTCTTAATGTTGCCATGAACATTTTTGCACACATTGCAAGCGCACAGGGGCTTGTATTTCTGTTGGCTATAAATCTAAACATGGTATTTCTGAATCTTAATGTAAACATTCACCTTCATTTGACAAAGCCAAAATGTTTTTCAAAATGGTTGTACCAATTTATACATCCAACAGCAGCATGTGAGAATTTGTTGCTCCACATCCTTGCCAATATTTTGTATTGCCATTGTCAGTCTTTTTAATTTGGCAATTCCTGCGAGTCTGTAAAGCTGTCTCGTCTCGTAGTTTTAATATTCATTTCTCTCATCACAATGAGGGTGAGCACCTTTTCGTGTTTATTGGCCATTTGAATGTTTCTTTTGGGAAACGTCTGCTGATACAGTTTGGATCTGTGGCCCCGCCCAAATCTAATGTTCAGTTGTCATCCCCAGTGTTGGAGATGGGGAATGGGCATGGTGGGAGGTGACTGGATCATGGCGCCGAAGTTCTCATGAATGGATTAGCACTATCTCTTCTTGGTACTGTAACGAGAGTGAGTTCTCACAAGATCTGGTTGTTTAAAAAGCGCTTGGTACCTTCCCCTACCCCCTCTTGATCCAGCTCCTGCCATGTAAGACACCTGGTTCCACTTGTCTCCTGCCATGAGAAAAAGCTCTTTGGGGCCTCTCCAGAAGCAGATGCCACCATGTTTCCTATACAGCATGCAGAACCGTGAGTCAATTGAATTTCTTTATAAAGTACACAGTCTCAGGTATTTCTTTATGGCAGTGCAAGAACAGACTAATGCACCTGCTCCAGCCTCTTATATACATTCTCTCACTGAATTGTCGTTTTTGTTTTTGCGATGGAGTTTCGCTGTTGCCCAAGCTGGAGTGCAGTGGCTCGATCTTGACTTACTGGGTTCATTCTCCTGCCTCAGCCTCCCGAATAGCTGGGATTATAGGCACTCTCCTGCCTCAGCCTCCCGAATAGCTGGGATTATAGGCACTCTCCTGCCTCAGCCTCCCAAGTAGCTGGAATTACAGTTGCTTGCCACCACACCCGGCTAATAGTTTTGCATTTTTAGTAGAGATGGGGTTTCGTTATGTTGGCCAGGCTGGTCTTGATCTCCTGACCTCATGATCCACCCGCCTCAGCCTCCCAAAGTGCTGGGATTATAGACGTAAGCCACAGTGCCTGGCCTTCACCCTATGCATTTCTATATTATTTGAATTTCAATGAGGATGAAGACTTTTATGATGATCCACCTCCACTTAATGAATAGTAAATATATTTTATTTTTACTTTTTTTTTTGAGACAGTGTCTTGCTCTGTTGCCCAGGCTGGAGTGCAGTGGCATGATCCTGGCTCCCAGGTTAAAGTGATTCTCCTGCCTCAGCCTCCTCAGTAGCTGGGATTACAGGCGCCCGCCACCACACCCAACCAATTTTTTTGTATTTTTAGTAGAGATGGGATTTCATCATGTTGGCCAGGCTGGTTTTGAACTACTGACCTCAAGTGATCCGCCTGCCTCAGCCTCCCAGAGTGTTGGATTACAGGCATAAGCCGCTGAGCCTGGCCTATAATTTTCTTATCCTTCTTGGATAACGTTGAAAGATAATAAATAATAATAATATTTTCCTTGCCATGACAAGGATTATTGTCTTTCTTAAATTTTTTAGAATTAAAATGGAGGCAGGGTTTTGCCATGTTGCCCAGGCTGATCTCAAAATGGGCAACATGGCAGTTTGGACTCAAGCAATCCACCCACCTCAGCTTCCCAATGTGCTAGAATTACAGGTGTGAGCCACCATGACTGGCCACAAGGATATTGTTAAAAATATTTGTTTCCTTCCTCCAGTTTCCTTTATTGTAAGAATATAATATATAATATATATACAAAATATGTGTTAGCTTACTATGTTATCAGTAAGACTTCTGGTCAACCATAAACTATTAGTAGTCTAAAGCTATGCCCAGATTTTTTATTACATGGAGGTCAGCGTCTTTAACACCTGAATTGTTCAAGGGTCAAGTATATACATATATTCACACCTATGTGCATAATTTTACTTCTCTATATTTTAGCAATATCAACACTTACACTAGCCTTCCTGAATTTCTTGGCATACTCCACTTCTTATATTCAAATCTTCCTCTATTTTGGATTTTTCATTTTACCAGGAGTACATCTTCAAGTAATTTTATCAAAATGGGATGGCACAAACTTTCAGAGATCTTCCTCATTTTTACCCCCCACTTAAACATGATCCAGGCTGGATATAGAATTCTGTCTTGAGAATAATTTCCCCTCAGAACATTGAAGGCACTTATCTTCCAGCAAACCATACTATCTTTCATTACCTGCCCAGATAGTCCTCCAAAACTGCTCCATCTTCCTATCCTTGCTGCCTCTAGGCTTCGAGTTTAAGAAAAGAGCCCTGCTACATTCTCTGACCTCCATCGTGCAGCAGGACCATCTATTCTGGGTTGCATTTTACTCTGTGCTGGTTCCTCCATCAATGTAATTCCAATTGTTTTCTAGTACCCTAACATTTCTAAAAACTTCTGGTACCATAACAGTAACAATGATAGCTAACATTAATTCAGCATTTGCTACATGTAAAGAAACTCTCCTAAGTGCTCTGTACATATTGTCTCTCCTGATTTCACAGTAACTCCAGAAGGTAGGTCCTATTATCAACATTCTCATTTTACAGATGAGGCAGCTGAGGCCAAAAAAGAAAAAGCAACTTGCTCAAGGTCATGCAGTTGGTAAATGGCAGAGCTTGGATTCAGATCCAAGTCACCTCGTTTCAAAGTCTCCCTTTTCTGTTCTTCTTCTTCTTTTTATAATGACAATGATTTATTCTTTGTCTTATGTCTGTTTTGTCATCTCCAGTGATATCTGAGAAGCAGGGGAAGGGTATGTTAAGTCTGCCAATTTTTTTTTTTTTTTTTTGAGACGGAGTTTCACTCTTGTTTCCCAGGCTGGAGTGCAATGGTGCGATCTCGGCTCACCGCAACCTCTGCCTCCTGGGTTCAGGCAATTCTCCTGCCTCAGCCTCCTGGGTAGCTGGAATTATAGGCGTGTGCCACCATGCCCAGCTAATTTTTTGTATTTTTAGTAGAGACGGGGTTTCACCATGTTAACCAGGATGGTCTCGATCTCTTGACCTCGTGATCCACCGCACCCAGCAAGTCTGCCATTTTATAATAAAAACCAGTTTTCATTACACCATTACTGTTTTCACTACACCACAGTTCTAATTGGCAGAACTATGTTTTAGAGAGGATGCAGGATCTGGTGAAGGAATCTAGTGACCGAAAATGGGCCCTATGAAACTGTCTACAACCTGAACCAAGAGAGGTGATATAAAGAATTCCAAAATAAGAGGCCTGGAAGTGGCTATTTCAAAAGTATAGATAAGTTTAAAAATAAAACAAAAAACCTATTGAAGCATTAAACAATAGCATCTTCATGTTCTCAACAATTCATTAGTTCACTGTCACCAACACCAAAGAGAAGTTGAGAACATAATAAAATATTAGTCTCATCCTGTTTCCTGACTGGCCTTTATAATACTTTAATACATATGATATACCTGCTACATTCACTATGGGTAAGTGATATGAAAGGCATTGCCCTGCTGTCCCTGCCCTTACAGAGCTTACAGTCTAGTGGGAGGCACGGACGAGTACACAACTACAATTCAGTACAACAGTAAGTGCTATGATACAGGTAGGTACATGGAAGGTGCCATCAGAACAAAGAGGGGAGAGACCTGCCAAGGAAGTTTCCCTGGAAATAATCTTGAACTGAGTGTTAAAGGATATGCTATTATTGGCTTGGAGAGATTAAACTGAATTTATTATCCTTGGCCTAAAATCTACATCTAATTCCATTTCCACTTCCTGATATGTCAAATTAATTCTCTATTTTTTTTTTCTTATGAGACAGGGCCTCACTTTTTCACCCAGGCTGGAATGCAGTGGCATGATTATAGCTTACTGCAGCCTCAAACTCCTAGGTGCAAGTAATCTTCCTGCCTCAGCCTCCTGAGTAGCTGGGACTACAGGCATACCCCACCACACCTGGCTAATTGTACGTGTGTGTGTGTGTGTGTGTGTGTGTGTAAAGGGTTTCACTCTGCTAGGATTACAGGTATAAGCAACCATGCCCAGCCCCTACTCTCCATTCCTATTACAACTACCTCATTTCTGTCTTCATCATTTTGCACACTGATAACAGTAGTCATCTTATAATTCACCTTTAATTAAATCTCTTCACTATTGAAAAATCCAAATGTGATCCTGAGAACTCCACTTGGGCGATATCCACTTGATCTGTGCCCTCTCCAGCCTCTTTTGTCCACCCCGTTTCCCACTGTGCTGAACTTTCTCTAGATCTCTAAAAACACCATGTTCTGTTTTGCCTAAATGCCTTTACTCAAGCTGCCTAATCACCAGTTTGTGAGGATCCAACCTTCCTTTGCTGACACCTACTCAGCCTTTATCCACAACCCTTCTGATGTCATCCTCATGGCCACTCCTTGTCACCCTCCTCCAGCCAAGCTGAGTCAGGAACCTCTCCTTTGTGCTACCATAGCATGCTACTTCATCATAACACTTACCACAAAGAATTATGCTCAAATTATTCTGTGATTGTCTGTTTACCGGATTCTCTATTACTTAGATCATCAGGCTAGTACAATACAAAGGAAGCAATCAAGAAATACTGAAAGAATGAAAGAATGAAGGAACGAACAAACGAAGAGAGTTAAGCCTGTGAAAGTTGATGAGACAACCAAAGGAGATAATGGAGAAGACAGAACACTGGAGCAATACCCACCTTGAGGGGGTAGGAAGAAAGAAGATAGAGAAGGAAACGGAATGAACAATCAAAAGAGGTAGGAAGAAAACATCTAGAACTATACAGTAAAGCAACCCAAAAAAAGAGAGAAATTTAAGAAGGGCAAGTAGTCAACAGCATCAAACACTACATAGAGGTTAAAGAAGGTGAGAACTAGTGAGAAGAAGGCCACTAGTGATCCTCATGTTGCTGATGCTGAGTTAATGCCCCCCTCAATTCCAGCACTGTCAGGGGCCACCTTTCTCAACCACTGATTGAGGCTACTGAGGGCTTACAAATAACCAATGGTATAAAACTTACCTGTGCAATCTTTCTTTTTTACTATCAAAAAATTGAAAAACAGACACCATACAAAAGAAAATAAAATCCCCACCATTCAGATACAACCTGTTATGTCACTATTTCCTTTGTTTTTTATGTTTATATGTTTTATATCATTATGTTGAATTATATATCCTAAACAATTCCTTAATTAGTATACATAAAATTATTAATATAATTTAAAATGAAGCTTAATTTATGCTTTATTCAGCACAAGTTAGATTTCTCATTGGAAACTGGTAAATTAGTACTCCAATTTATAAATAGAATAAAGAAAAAAATGCTATAGAATTAGACATGCCTGCTTGGCCATGTGTGTACAATGGGTTTCCTGTCATATAATACTACAATAACCTAATTTTTTTTTTTTTTTTTTTTGAGACAAAGTTTCACTCTCTCGCTCAGGCTGGAATGCAGTGCTACAATCATGGCTTACTGCAACCTGTGCCTCCTGGGCTCAGGTGATCCTCCCACCTCAACCTCCTGAGTAGCTGGGACTATAAGTGTGCACCACCATGCCCGGCTAATTTTTGTATTTTTTGTGGAGACAGGGTTTCACTGTGTTGTCCAGGCTGGTCTTGAACTCCTGGACTCAAGCAATCTGCCCACCTTGGCCTCCTAAAGAGTGGGGATTACACGTATGAGCCACCCAGCCTGGCCTTTAGTTTTTACCAACAAAATTTACTCATGCTAAAAGGTGGTACACCATCTCAAGGATCTTATCTTGACCCATTTTACAGTTGATTTTATGCATGCTCTGCAGCTTGGCTGCCAAAAATAGGTTAGGAACTAGCTAGAGAAATATCTATAGCAGTTGCAGGAATTTTTCTTAGGTTACAAAAAAACAAACTCCAGTTAAAATTAGATATACTGGGTTGTAAATAATTTAATACAGCCTAAATTACATGAAGTACACTTGTGTGACAATTTGTTGTATCTAGAAAAATAGTGTGAACCAGAGTTTTCAACCTTCCTCTGAGATTTTCTTTTTTTCAGTATGGAGTATGTTTTAGTAGAAAAAATAAAAAGTAGAAGGAATGCAACATTTCTACAAGTAAAAAGTACTAGGTCAACGGGTATGAACATTTCTAAGGTTTTTAATACATATCACCAAACTAGTTTCAGAATAGCTATATAAAATTTACACTTTCTTCAATATATGAGGTTTATTTTCCCATACCCTTGCCAACACTGGGTATTCTTATTTTTATTTCTTTATTTTTTTCCTGAGAATATTCCAAGTAAGGTATTCTTATTTTTGGTCTTTGCTGATCTAATAGGTAAAAACACCTTATTGTTTTAATTGTGTTTATAATAATAGAAAAATAAATATTTGTTCATATTTATTGGTACTTCTTTTTAACAAATTGATAATTCTATATCTTTTACCTATTTTTCCAGTGGACATTTGTTTTTAACCTATCTTTTAATATGCGACATTTATAAGAACTCTTTATATAGTCATATTACCCCTTTGTTACAAATAACTTTTTTATCTTTTAATATGTGACATTTGACATAAAAGGTTTTTAATTTTATACCATCACATAATCTTTTATTTCTTCCTTAGAATCATATTTAGAAAATTCTTTCCCACATACATATTTTATAGATTTTCACTCAAAATTCTTTCTAATATGGCTACAGTGGAATACCATTTATATCAGCGAGATAATTTATCTCTACCATCTAATAACAAACTAAGTTACAATTACAATCCCAATAGTAGCCAATAAGAAACAGGTTTAAAATTAAGTTCTAGATTTTTCTTACTCCAATTGTTTCATTAGCTGTTTAGGTGACTTTTAAAAACCAGAGTTTTGAGTTTAGAAAATTCATTCAAAGTTCCCTTTAAATACGAAGCACAGATCTCTTGCTAGTTATCACCCACCTCTCAAAAACCTGTTAGGGATCCTTATGATGGGACAGGACTGAATGAAGCGCCTCCTAACTGGGTCCCATCGTATTTTCTTCTTACCTGTTACCACAATTATCAGCAATAAGTCAGACACATACAACACATGGCAAATAATACATAGTTACTGTAGTTATAAAGACAGAAAAACAGGAAACAAAACAATACCTGAATACAGAAAGAAAGTGATATAAAGTAGCATTTAACCCTGTTTTGGAAGTCAAAATTAAATTAATATATAAGCAGTGATGAAGGTTTTCAACTCTTACCCCCAAAAGAATACAATTTTGTGCACCGTTTTTCGGAATTCTGGTTCAATAGTATGTGCACTCAATAATCACCAATGCCATCTTGTGGCAAAAATTCACCAGGAGCTTTATGAATAGATTAGAAACGACATTTTAAAGTCAGTTAGTTTCAAAATGGAGCTCTGAAATAACTGGACATAACATAAGCTCCTGTTCTCTTCAAGGTTATAATAATTATATGGTTAAGAAGATAAAGCAATGGGCACCATTCCTTAAATATTAAATAAGCTGATTCTACTGTAATTAAATTTTAAAACGGCAACCAAATAAAACAAACATTTAATATCTTGGCACTTCCATGGAAGAAGGGAGGGAAGGAGCTCATCTGCCTTCCCAGGAAGCAAATCAGCTCCATGTTAACCCCAATTAAAATTTTTTGTCTTATAAAATAGAAGAAAAACCTAATAAATTAATAGTTAAATGGGGTAATTTAAATAACTGTTAAATGGGGTAATTTTCTCTTTTCCCAAAGTTTTGATAACTCCCAAAGATAACTCTTGACAATAAAAACAATTAACACTCGTGTAATGTTTAAGGTTTACAAACAGCTTTCACATATATTACCTCATGTAATTCTCACAACAATCCTGTATTGATTCAACAATCATTTTATTAAGCATCTGCTGTGTCTGGAGCCCTATTCTAGGACCGAGAGTTGCAAGGGTTGCAAAACAAGGACTGACTCCTGCTCTTCAGAACCCTTGGTCTCACGAGGAAGGCAGATGTGTAAACAAATAATTACATTACAGTGAAGAAACTGCTGTAACAGGAGCAATAAAAATACTTTGAAGAAAGTATCATCATCATTTTACAAATAAGCTAGGATTCAAGCTAGGCCTTCTGACTCTAAAAATTTGCCTTCTTTCCACTACACCATATTTATCCTGTCTTAAATTCCCTAGAAAAAGAACAGTTTTTGTTTTTGGCAACTGGAAATATATTCAGATGTCCATCAACAAGGTCTAGTTTGCTTGCTACAGAACATGTACATAGAGATATACAAATTCTGTATAATGAAATGACATCACCTGCACATATGCACTTAATTTTGTAGAGAATACAGACTCATGGGCAAGGGGAATAATTATTTATTTTGCAAAAGGGTTTATTTTTTAACATTCTAAGTCTTTTAAACCAGTGATTCCCAAATGTTGGTCTACAGACCACTACTAGGCTAAGGTGAAGATTCACTGATCCAACAAAAACATGATAAAAATATGGACAAGGCAATAAGTTTTTCAAAAAGCTAAAAGGTTCCATTTAAAGGCCTACCCTTTTTTCAGAGATTAGAACCTTTTTTGTTCTTAAATATTCTTTACCTTATGAAATGATGCTGCTAAGAAGTAGTTGGCTTTGTTTTTAATATTCTTTCGTGGAAAAACTGAAAATTTGCAAGTCCATATCTACTCTAAATATGCATACATAAATAAATCTAAGTGCATATAAATATATTTTAATGTACAGGTTTATGACATTCAACAGTCTAGAGAAACATTGTTTTAAATCAATACAGTATGTGTTGATGACTCCAGAGTCCAAAGCTGTAAACCACACTGTCAAAGGATACATAAGATGTGTAAGAAACCTCCCTTGCCCCTAAGAAGTTTATATTCTAATTAGGGAGACAAGACAGAGACATAAAACAATTAGCAATACAAGACAGAATATAACAAGTGATTAGCTCAAAATTTGACATTTTTATGTATCAAAAGTGTTAAAATGTACATACCCTTTGACCCAGCTATTCCACTTCTAGGAATCTATTCCTAAAGAAACAATCATAGATGCATGGAAAGATGTATGGACAAAGATATTAACTATGGTATTATTTGTAATGGTAAAAAAATTAGAAACACTTTCAATGTCCAATGATAGGGAGATGGTTAAAAGTATGCTAAATGAACATACTTAAATATGCTCATATTCAACACACCACTAAAGATATATACAAAACTATTCATTAACATGACAAAACATTCACAATATATTGCAAATGAAAAATACAATGTACAAAACAGTATTAAAGCATGATACCATTTTAGTAAAGAAAAAAGTATTTTTATGTTTTCATAAAAAATATAGGAAAGATTACATCAAATTAATGTATTTGGCTATAGTTATCTTTGGATGGTTATAAGGAATTATTATTATTATTTTTTTTTTTGAGACAGAGTTTCGCTCTTGTTACCCAGGCTGGAGTGCAATGGCGTGATCTCGGCTCACCGCAACCTCCGCCTCCTGGGTTCAGGCAATTCTCCTGCCTCAGCCTCTTGAGTAGCTGGGATTACAGGCACGCGCCACCATGCCCAGCTAATTTTTTGTATTTTTAGTAGAGACGGGGTTTCACCATGTTGACCAGGATGGTCTCGATATCTTGACCTGGTGATCCACCCGCCTCGGCCTCCCAAAGTGCTGGGATTACAGGCTTGAGCCACCGCGCCCGGCCAGGAATTATTTTTGTTTTTTCCCTTTATGATGGTCTTTGTTTTCCAAGCTCTCTGAGTAGGCATTACTTTTAGACTGGAAGAAAAACAATACTGCATTTTTTTTTATTTTTAAAAAACTCATTACAAAGAAAAATGGAAAGAAACATACCAAAGTCTTAACACTGGTTATGACTGGGCCTGAGGTTTTATTACCCCTTTTATGTTATCCATAAATTCTATTATATATGATTTTATAAAGGAAAAATATTAAAAACTACTTTGGAGTAACACTGAGGGAATAACATTAAAAATTACCAAACCCGGACTGGTGTGGTGGCTTATGCCTGTAATCCCAGCATTCTGGGAGGCCAAGGCACGTGGATAACTTGAGGCCAGGAGTTTGAGACCAGCCTGGGCAACGTGGCAAAACTCCATCTCTACTAAAAATATACAAAAATTAGTCAGACGTGGTGGAAGGTGCCTGTAAACCCAGCAACTCAGGAGGCTGAGACAGGAAAATGCTGGAACCCAAAAGGCAGAGTTTGCAGTGAGTAGAGATAGCGCCACTGCACTCCAGCCTGGGCAGCAGAGTGAAGCTCTGTCTCAAAAACAAAAACAAACAAAAATAATTAACAAACCCAAATTGTAATTAACAAAACCCCTTTTATGTTT